CAGTGCTTGTTTATAGATATCCTCCAGGGCACCTGTATAGAACATATTCGGATGAGGCCCATACAAGTCAGTGCATGTTTATAGATATCCTCAGGGCACCTGTATCATCAATATAACACACGTTAACACGTCTCCGCCCACTTTCTCTTGGCCTCTGTCCACAGAACTTCGTTGGGAAAGGGACTGCGCCAGACCCATCTGCTGCATCGTCTGATGCCCAGTCGGCCATCCCCATGGCTGCAGGTAGGTGCCCGTCTTGCATTCCCAACAGCCGTCTCCGCACAGTCTTTGGTCCTTGTTGCGTGCTTTTTGTCAAGGGTTCATTAACGTTCATGGCATTGCTCGTTTATTGCTCGTTTACTGCTCGTTTATTGCTCGTTTATTGCTTTTTTATAGCTCGTTTGGGTGCGAGAGTGTATGTTTTTGCACCGCAACGGTCTGTGGTGTTGAGTACTCCACTGCAAATGGCTGCAATGGGTTTGCCTTCTGGAATTGGGTGCGAATGCTCGCGCTCAGAATAGCTGACGTGAAGGGCCGTTGACAGCGGTGTGTGTCACAGTCGTCTGATTCCTGTGATTCTGCAGCACCGTGTTGGTTCTCACTAATAGTAGTAGACATAAGCCACAGATTCATTGCCATTGTGGGTGAAGTTTCAATGATCCATCTGTTTATATATACACCTCAATATATACATACATATAAATATATACATACACCTATATCTATACATACATATAAATATATACATACACCTATATGTATACATGCACATAAATATATGCATACATCCGCATGGTTCCCATTTTTCACTTCATACCAAACTGTTCTGTGCAGCACGAGTTCTCTCATGGTTGTAGGGTTTTAGGGTGTATGGATTAGAGTTCTTCCATGGTAGTAGAGATTTATGGTCTAGATTTTTCTCATGGTTGTAGGGTTTTATGGTCTAGAGTTCTCTCATGGTTGTACGGTTTTATAGTTTAGAGTTCTCTTATTGTTGTAGGGGTTTAGGTTGTAGGGTTTAGAGTTTTCCCATGGTTGCTGATACCACATAGTCCAATTCGCTCTCTTTTGTTTTGTGATGTCTCACCTTAGCAACGCACCCCATCGCAGCTCAAGCCATCGCAGTGGATCTTCAATGTTTTTCAATAGCACTCTCATTGGTTTAATATGTTGCTTTGCTAATAGTATTGCTGTGTATATATGTGTGCATTCACAGGAGAGGCTACAAACGGACTGGAGCCCACACTGACACTCGTGACAGTGACTGACGATGGGAGGCACTTGACAGTCAACACACACAACAACTCACCTACAGACATGCACACGAACACACACAACACCTCACCTACAGACATGCACACGAACTCACACAACACCTCACCTACAAACATGCACACGAACACACACGACATGGCCAATGCAGACACCCAACAACACATGTCACAACCAAACACACACACACACACACACGCACACACACACGCGCACACACACGTACAAGCACAAGCACAAGCACACACACAAGCACAAGCACAAGAACAGGCAGACAACAACGCCCCTCCCCCACACAGTTCACAGCCAGCCACACACACACCAAACGCACCTACAAATATGCACATGAACACACACGCAAACACACACACAAATGGACATACAACACCATCCACCATCACATCAACGAGGCCGCAGGAGGCACTCACCATAGCCAATGGCATAGTGGGAGGCACAGGCAACCACACCGCAGTACAGCCAGCTACTCAGCAGTACCCAGAGGTGCAGGTAAGTGACAGACACTCTGACACACAAACATATGGCACAGAACATACTATATATA